GGGTGGGCGGCAGTACACATTAGGGTACTGTCCTTCCCCTGCCGCTGAGTAAGCCCAGTGAGCAACTGATGACACACCTGCGTGTAGCACTGATTATGAGAAACAGTCCTTTTTGCACACAGCAAATCCTGCTGCTGAGATGCCTGCTGGCATTCTCCAAAGATACGTATCACTCCATACTGAGCCAAAAGTGGCTCGTTCCCTGCACTGCCCTAGGTATGGTGTCCAAACTCTACCTTCACTTACACCTGTGCCCAGTGAGCAACTGATGACACACCTGCGTGTAGCACTGATTATGAGAAACAGTCCTTTTTGCACACAGCAAATCCTGCTGCTGAGATGCCTGCTGGCATTCTCCAAAGATACGTATCACTCCATACTGAGCCAAAAGTGGCTCGTTCCCTGCACTGCCCTAGGTATGGTGTCCAAACTCTACCTTCACTTACACCTGTGCATCCTCCAGTAACTCCAAATCTGGCTCCACGCGATAAGCTAATTAGTTCACAGCAACCAGTGATAAAAATGAATGCCCTCTGCCCTGGCAAACAGGGAACCTGCAATTTGCTAGCTCTGTTTGCTCTTCTGTTTCAGTGGGCGTTTGGCGTGACGATGTGGGAGATTGTGACCCGAGGACAAACCCCTTACGCAGGCATTGAAAATGCAGAAATCTACAACTACCTCATCAGCGGAAACAGGTTGAAGCAGCCCCCAGAGTGCCTGGAAGACATGTGAGTAACTTGCCCCTTGCATGTTTCCTCATGGAGAATCCTCTCTTAATGGAGGCAGGCTGAGAGAGGCAGAGACCGCTTGCATGGCTTCTGTTCAGTCTAATTCTCTGCAATATTTGAAGGCACCTGCTAGAGACAGTAATTGGGGTTGCTGAAACTACAGTAACTAGAAGCCAGTGTCTGTGCGGGCATCACTCTACTGAAGTCAGGGTCATTACACTGACAGCTAACTGGGCTTGGGCATCGGCAGCAGTAGAGACTCTTGTTCCACTTGTGAAACCATACCCATGTTCCTAGACACTCACTGCTCCCCATCTCCTTCCGGTCAATGGGAGAAGCAAATCTGAGCAGAGGACCCTTTCTTGCATCTTCCCTTCAAAGGCAGTGTCATCCAAAGCATCTCTGCTGCTCTCAACTGCAGTGTCTGTATAGGAAGAGAGGGGGGCCTCTCAGCTAGTGCCTGAGCCAGGTACGGCTTTATACGTCAGTGTCCACATCTCACATTGCAGCCTCAAATGCAAGCCAAGCCAGTGTTGGTAATATTGATGTAATATATTCTCAGAACCTGCAGCTAATCCTTGAGGCAGCCACTTTCTGCACCAGCTGTAGCTTCCCAATGGCCATTTCCACACCTTTGTATTGCTCTGTGATGAAGTGTTTCCTCTTTATAAAATTACTTGGAATATGTGTGTCCAGACCTTGCGCTCAATAGATGCTGACATAAGCCTCCAAGAATTCTTCCTAGACTGAACTACAAGCTGGAGTGAATCCCTTGGGGGCTGGAGCAGTATTTATAGTTCCTTAGCTCCCCCTCCCCCATATATGCTGACCAATCAGCACCTTCCAGCTCACTCCAAAAGGAGTTTCAAAGTTGGTAGCAAGCACTGCCATGCTCTCAGCTTTGAGAGGAAGATTCCTCAGCCTTTCCATTCTGGAAAAGGCATTTGAAGAGATGAAATGAGAAGCCATCCACGCTGAGTGCTCCTAGCTGTTGATTTCTACTTTCCCATTTTTCCTTCAGTGTCTTTGTACACTAGCTGCCCCATAGGATCTTCAAGTCCTCTGTGGCAAACCACTTAGGGGAAGTTTCTGAAAATGTTGGCTTTACCCTCTCTGTCTTGCTTTCCCCATCTGGAACATGGTGCTGACAGAACGATCTGGCAAAATCCCTGTTTCACGGAATTTCCTGCCCTCCACATTAGTTTTTCAACATAAGAGAATGATCTGGTCTCTTGTCAATAAATCTAAGTCAGCGCGGCAGATCACTTTTTTTGACTGTTTCCTAGCATTTGTATAGGTTTTTGTCAGCCAAATCCCCATCATCTAACTCTGGCAATGAGACCAAAATCTACAGTTAATGGTGTGATGCAGAGTAGAGAGCAAGTCAGAATAACCAGGATTTGGTCAATGATTTTGTACGGAGTATTTATGTTGTAGGTGGCCTGCTTTTAATTGGTGTAAACCCATGGAAACCAACTGCTCCACTGCAAAATTAGTAAGAGGCTCATTAAAGTGTTCTCTAGATACAGTCAGGGAGTACAAAATGCCATTGTGATTTTGTATTCTTGTGATTCTGTTTCTCAGTACACCACGTATCCGATATGCCCAGTTTACAGTTCTGTTTGGTTTGGGTGGTTTTCACCATCACAACTGTTACGGTCACGCTCTCCTGGCACAATCAGCAACAATGAAGATTCTGAAATAGGAATTTAGTTGCCAGCTTGCTGGCTGACACACAAAGAAGAATACAAAGGAGCACTTTTTTTTAAAAAAACAGCTAAATGAGTTCTGCTATGCTGATGGCACTAAGAACTTGTTTTGTTACCAGGCAGAGCTGAGCTAAGTATAAAACACATTGAGCGTGATTCTGCACTTCTTACCTGAGTAAAACTCACTGAAGTCAGGGACAGTTTGGCCAGATTGAGAGCTGTGGGTTCTAATCAGTGTTCCCTGTAAGCTATGCACTCATGCGGCTGCTTGGGAGAGATTCAAATGTCGCCCAGCTGATTAGCAGAGAGCTCACAGCGAGGTTTTTTGCACAAGCCTCAGTGCACATAAAAAAATGTATTCCATACAGGGATGTAAATAAGGTTGCTACGTGCCTGGGTTTAAAATGGACAGTCCAGTAGTTGAGCTTTCTGTTCAGGAAATAAATTGAGAAAATGAGAAAATATAAATGTCCGGTATTTTCTAAATAAGACATAATGTAGATTGTGATGTAATGTCAAGTGTGTTCGGTATTTTTGTTGAAACCATCTGGTAACCCTAGATGTAAAACATCCACACATGGATGGAAAAGATTAGTGGGAACATTTAGATTCACATGAAGCAGATACACACACTTGGGACTATATTATCAGCTGGCCACCCAACAGGATTTAACCATTGGCGTCTCTGGGGGTAAGATAAAGGAGCCTTCCCCAGTAAAATCCCCACGAGATGGGGCAATACCACCATTGCCTGTTCTCTGGAGGATGAGTTCTGCCTGGCGCACAAAGGCTAGCCTAGCCCTAGGAGGTTTGATGTATGCCTCTCTCTGCAGTAATTTTGGTGGGTCTGACCTTTGTTCTCTTGTACTGCATTTGTAACCCGCACAGCTGCTGGGATTGGTATTCTGTCCCAGCTGATGGCACTGAGGCTGCTTAGAGAGAGAAGAATGAGTCTGCCCTACAGCTTTAGTTAAGCAGCACTGGCCTTCTAGCTCATACAGCAGAGGCTCACGTACTAAGCTCCAGAGGTCCCAGGTTTGATCCTACCCATCATTAACCAGTGTCTGTTGGCATTACAAGTCAGGGCTCAGTTGGAGTTTCATCTGGAAAGTCTCTGAAGCTTGGGATGTGCTTCCTCAGCCATGGGAAGCATGTAACCCACATGACTCCCTCCATGTGATGTTCTGTCCCATCTAGTGGCACTGAGACCATTTACAGTGAGATTAATAAGCCTTAGCGAAAGGGCCATGTGACTTTTAGCTCACGCACCAGAGGCTTTTACACTAAGTTCCAGAGCTCCCAGGTTTGATCCTGACCACGAATGACCAGGGCCTGTCAGTGTTCCACATTGTAAGAGGGAAGAGCTTCCTGTCTATCTCCCTTTGTTGGTGACACAATAGGTCTGGTGCTTAATTTTGTGCCAGGGTGTGGGCTGATCCCTGGCACCTCTAGACTTGGCAGTCCATAGCCCCAGCACCTTGGCTTGCTGTGACAGTTACAACAGTTTAAAAAACATAGCTTGAGCCCTGGCACCTCTTTCATTACAAATTACACACTGGGTAGCTCTCACTGGAGATCTCTGAGCACTGCAGCAGATGTTTCCCTGGGGCATGTCTTGCTCTAGGAGTGAAGATTCTGAAGAGTAGGGAAGCACATGGGTGCCATATTTTCAGCTTGCAGGAGGTTATTTACTAGCACTGAGGTAGAGAGTCAGTGTTCAGATCGATTACATGACCTGGTCAGTTTGACTTGCGCCAGGTTTTTCTAAAAGCTCCCATACTCAGGCTAGTAATTCATGGTTTTATTTAAATAAAGAGAAGCAACCGCTTGATCCCCATCCTCTAACTCTGTTGGCTCCCAGTCCATTGCAGGACCCCATTGAAAAGCCATGCTTTTTATTTAAGAACCTCTGTGGACTTCCTTTGTCCCATTTCATGGATCTCATCTTCCCACCTCACTTTCTCTGCTCTAACATGACCCAGCACTCCAGATGCAAGATCTGCTAGTGCCTGCATAGAGGTGTGATTGGATGGAAGGGAACAAAGTTGGGTTTCTCAGCCAATGAAGTGTAAGACATTCTGTTGAGTCATGGTTAGGAGAAGAGCTGAGAGCTCCACTCCTCATTCCCCAGCATTTGTGCAGAGACCTTCATCCACCCTGGCACGCATACAAGTGTGCCTGTAATGACTGAAGCTCAGTTGATGCTTGACCTCAGAAAAAGCAGGCTGTGTGGCATGACTGGTACCATGGCTGATAAATTACTGACAAGAGGGTTTTTTTTTTTGTAGAGGTGGATTGTATCGCTGCCATTCTGGGTGGAATACACTGTAACCTTGGTATATTTCTACAGAGCACACAGAACCATTTTTAGTTCAGTTATTCAAGCAATTAAGACTTTATCTGTGTCTTTACAGCCCTCTGAACCAGAATAATAGTGCCCATGTTACATGTGGAAAGTGCCCTCTACCATTCTATCAGCTGGTAATAGTGGATGGGTTCCATTATGCCCGAGCAGCTGAAATATAACAAAGTTTAGATAGAATTCTGACTAGAAATTGTTGCTCCTAAAAATCTGGCTTCTTTTTTCCTCCTCACAGTTTAATCTACCTTTCTATTAAAATCTAGATCAATTAAATCTCTGGTCCGCTGTTGAGAGTATATAAACCATACACTGTAGAACAAAGAGAATAAAAATCTATGACTGACCGTTGCATTTATTCAGGGCTTAATCCATACCAACCAGCACCAATGCTGGGCTACCAAATCAGCTTTGTCTGATTGGCATTGTGTGTGTGTGTCTTGAATAGCCTGGTTCTTTGCAACAATCATTCTGATCAAAATGAAAATATGTTGGAAAACGTGAAGAGACTAGGAACTTGATCCAAGCCTGAGCAAATGGCCTTTGTGTCAGTGAGTTCTGAGAGAGATGTGTGCTCTTTTTTTTTTCTTCTTTTTTTTTGGGGGGGGAATGGTCTTTTTGTTGTAGCTATGTCAGTTTACTACTTAAAAAAGCATCTAACTGTTCCTAAAATGTTCTTGTGACACATCTGGCTTTAAAAAAAAAAAAAAAAAAAAAAAAAGCTTCCAGAATTCAGATTTGACAAATGCCCTTGTTGACTCTTTCTACTACTCCAAAACTAGAGCTCTCCCTTCCCCATCACCCAGTTTTTTCCCACTCCACCACCCAAGAGGAATCCTAGGAATATTCACTGAGGGCTATGGGTAACTTCTCTGAAGACTCCCTCTGGCAGAAAGATTTGTGAATGCTATAACACAATTCTTCCCAGAACTTCGACTGGAGTAGTGTGGGAATTGCATGAGCTCTGTTACAGCTTGTTGGCACAATTCAGCCCTAAAGTGATGGCTGTACCATGTCGCTGAGTAAATAATTGGATCCTGTTTAGTTGTTAGTGTCACGAATCACCTGACTGATGGGCAGAGTTACTTTGCACACAGACCCTCTATATTTTTCAGCTCTCTTTATTCTCTTTGCATTGCAGCTATGATCTCATGTGCAGATGTTGGCATTCGGAGCCCAAGCTACGCCCTAGCTTTGGAGTGCTGAAATCACAGCTGGAAATGATTCAGGGGAGAATGTCTATGCTCTCATCCAGCCAGGATCCTCTATATGTCAACATTGGGGAGGCTAAAGAGACTTCTGGGAGCAACCCTGCCCTGTACACTTCATTTGGAAATTTGGACAGCGGCGAGAACGTTGCTGAAGCAGCTGCTGCTGTCACTAGTGACTATCGCTACATCATGAGCCCATTGTGCCTTGGAAATGATGTTGGAAGTGACAGGCATCCCAATGAAGCTGAAGGGGAGGTCAGGAGCCTTCTGCAGGAGCTGGAGACAGGAGAGAGAAGTTGTTAGCCCATAAGAAGGAAACACTCCAGTTACCTGCCACGGGCTGTGTGCAGCTATATTGCCATGTTGCAATGCTTTCAAGAGCCAGTTGGGGGATGTTTTTAAGCCACATGGGGAGCTATAATTAGGTTGCTTCTATAGCTATCCCCATCTATGTGGATTGCTGTTGTGGACAGCTCAGAAAAATCACAAATCATAATTGCCCCTTGGACTTTTTGGGGGTAGGATTAAAGGTTGATCACATCCAGTGGGAGTGGGCTAGATTTGCCAGCCCTCCAGGATTGGCCTGGAGTCTCCAGGAACTAAAGAGTAATCTTTACTTAAAGATTATGTCATGGGATGAAATCGCCAGGAATATGCTCAACCAAAATTGGCAACCCGAGAATGGGTTCAAAGCTACAGCAACCAATGAGTATTTGTTTGCTTGGGTAATTCTCACTGGCTGCAGCCATACAGTAGAATGCACATACTAGGTCAATCAGTGCTCACTATTCTGTGGATGCTTTTTCAATTCTGGCTGTGTAAGTTTTGGACCAGTAGATCTGGAAACACTGGCGAATATTTACACTGTTGTTTGGGACATAGGGGAAGAAAAGCTCTCTTGTGTTCACTCAGCAGTACTGCCTAGACCTGTTGCCTACCTCAGCGGTTCTCAGTCTGATCTACGGAGCTGCTTCCACAGTAAAACATCCAGAGTTTTTTCAGCAATGACACGTGTTGCTAGAAGTAGCCCAGCCCAGGGCTCTCTTAGAATTTCCAGATGCTTTTGTTGAACAGCTAAACTGAAACTTATGAAAATCCAACACTTTTCTCCACCCTACGCCTCCAGGCCCATCGACGGGGAGCGGTGGGGGCAAGGAGGCAATTACCCTGGGGCCCAGCAATTCAAAGGGGCTTTGGGCCCTTTAAATTGCTGCTGGAGAACTGTGCTGCACATTCTGAGGATTGGGGCAGGGGTGCACCACACAGAGGGTTGGCTGCCTCTGGCCCTGCCCCTACAGGGAGCGCAGAGCTAGCCCCCCCCCCCCCCCTTTGCCCCTGTAGGCTGTTGCCTCCCCTGTACACACCTGTTTTGTGTCTTTCATTGTCTTCTATTTGATATGAATGTAGGGTTGCCATGTGTCCAGTTTTCACCGGGACAGTATGTTATTTCTGGGCCCTGTCTGGTAAAGAAAACAGAAAATACCGGACATGTAAAATGTCCTTTTTTTTGGATAGAAGGCTGGTGGGGGACATTCTTTCCCTGCTGCGTCTGGCAAAGGCGGGGGGAGCGAGGAGGGTGGGGATATTTAAAGGCACAGCAACTTTTTTTTTTTTTTTCTCAACCAATTTTTTTTCCTGCCATGTTCAGGATTTTTTGTGAAAGTATCTGGCAACCCTAAATAAATTCAGCCCATATCAAATTTACAGCTAATGTAAAATGCAGCCCATATCAAATTTACAGCTAATGTAAAACTGGGCAGGGGAGAATCATGCAAGAGAATCCTGGAACCCTACATCAGAGGGATATAAATTGAGTGCTGCAGTGAGGGCCGGCAGCAATGCAGGGCTCCCTTCCTCATTAATGTAAAGTGGAGAGGAAAGAAACAGCACAGATACAAAATGGAAGGCTGTAACCATGCACTGACTTCAGCAGAAGCAGGATCCAGCCTTCATTTTAGAACAAGTTTATTTTATTCTTCTCCCTTTACTGTCTCTTTCTTACCTTTTTCATGTAACCAAGCAATGTAGGTACCACAGAAAAGGTATGGAAATGGTGCAAAAGGACCAAGAAGCAGGGGTGCTGGAACAGCGTGTATAGTGTGGAGTCTTGAAAGCCACTGAACCAAACTGTAAACCTTGTGTATGATGGAAACCACTTCAGGTCAGGGGATGCTGCGACACCTGCAACGCCCCTTGTTTCAACACCTCCATCAACAAGAGGATCTCTAGCTAATAAAACAGTCCTTGCTGTGAAAAAATTTGAGAACCAGAGGCCTTGTTGATTAGGAGGTCTTCAGGCATGTGGAAAAGATCAGCCAAACCATATTGGAACACATTCTGTATATCACTGCAGCCTTCCAGCGTGGGAGAGATTCATATTTCAGTTCTCTCCTCCTCCCCTCCCCAAATCAGCATGTCTGATACATTATAACTGCAAACAGTTGTGTGTCTTGGTTTTTTAAATAATTTAATATTTTAATGTAACTGAGTAAGTGTTCTGTACAGTGGTTCCCAGCACTCTCAGAGATGTGCAGTACATCTTACCTTAGTCGTCTGAATGTTTACAAGACCTGAATCTATCTCATTTGATTTCCTGTGCCCTGAAGAACTTTGCAGTATTTTGTGACTTGAGCTTCCACGTTGCACTTCCCTTACAGCAAATGTTGTAATACTCAACATTTATACTTAGAAATGAAGTGGTAAAGATGGGACCAAGTTGCAAAATTGAGATCCAGATGTGGAATATGAATTCCCAAGCTTCGCTGACTACGATTCTGCCTTTTGCCTGTAGTAAAGAAAGATGCTCTTTGCAAAATTCAAAGCCACATTCAAATCCTGATTTAGAACAAAGTCTGGTGTATTTGGAGCTGGAATTTTGAAACAACACAAGGTCCTAACGCTGCCTTCCTGCATTACAGACTGCACCATCTTATAGACCAGGATATGTAGGATTTTTCTTCTTGATTTAAATGGTATACAGAAAACACAGGTTATGAATGAGCAAATAACCCATAACAAAAGGTATTGTTTTACCACAGTATCTCTGCAGGTGCATACATGTGTTTATTGTGGGACCTGAAGGCCACATTCCCTGCAGCTAGCTGGGAAATAGAGATGTAAATATAGACGCTAACTTCTGAAACCATCGCATTCATTTTTATTCTTTTTTTAATAATAAACTGTGTACTGTGTCTGAAGCCCTGCCTTATGTCCGCTCCATCTCATAACTGGCGATGATGTTCTGTAAGGGCCTTCTCATTCAAATGAGGCACTGATAAAATTGGAAGGTGTCGTACATAAAAACACAATTACTCCATTTTTTTATTTACCTCACCCCATCAAGCTCAAGGAGCTGAGCTCAAGGAAGAGGGACTCCTGGGAGTAGGGTGGGGATGAAGGAAAGTTCTAGACTGCAGAACTTCTCTGTGTCGCTTCTGCAGGCTTGAGACTGCCTCTATTGTCCCTGGTCAATGATGGCAAGGGCCAGTGAAGTAGCAGATATTTAAGACCAGTCATTTGAGCCTGGGGTATAGGGCTTCTGCAGAGCACGAAGCTTGACTTCCTATGGACTCCCCAAGCCCTGTGCATTCCAGCTTCGTGCTCTGCAGAAGCCCTGACTTCCTATGGACTCCCCAAGCCCTGTGCATTCCTGTTCTGTTACAAACAACCTGCAGAAGAGGGGATAGGTTTTGCCTCCTCTTGAAGTCACAATTGCTGCATTAGGGGACCCAAATGTAACACAGCAGGGACTCTGTTTCTTCTGTACCGAGTATAAGGGCATACCTTGCTCCTTTCACACCCAGCATAAGCATATTGCATGCCCTCCCACTGCCAGTCCACCCAGCGAGAGGGCTGGCAATGTGAGCTTAGTTTGGGAGAGGGCTCTCCCATGCAGGAAAGCTCCAGCACCAGACACACTCCATGGGGTTTGCTTGCTTGAGTTACTTTTTGGTTTTTAAGACACCATCTCCTAGAAGTGTATCTTTACCATGGTTCAGATACACTTGTCTTTGTCCACAAACTGGGCCAGCCCAGGTACAAACAACAACTGAGACTGAGCTCATGAAAAAAATGGTGTATAAAAAATGTCAGTGCCCGGTCATTCCTATTGGTCAGAGCAGGAGTCAGACCTTGTGGATAGCACAGGAATGGGTAGCCAGGTATCAGAGCCAAGGGAATCAGAGGTTAAGTGCCAGAGCTGAGGAGCAGACCAGAAGTTAGGAATTGAAGCCAAGGGGCGGAACTGAGCTACCAAGGGTGGAGTGAAGTGAGGCAGAAGGAAGGCTATCAACAAGCACATGCAAGAGCCTTTGGCAAATGCTTTGAGCAGCTGCTGAACTGCCGCTTGGCTTATGAACCCACCTGTAGATGCTTCCAACCACTCAGCCAGATAAGCAGCCTACTACAGGCCACCTGTGGAGACTGGCTCTAGCTCTGTTTCAGGACCTGATTCCTGACAAAGAAGAGCTGGTGCCAAAAGAAGGAAGGTTAAATGGTCACATGCATTGATCATTTAAGACTGGCGTTGCACCATGTTCTGAAAATAGCAACTGCATGATTCGGGAGGATAGGCTCAGGGAGGGCCTTCCGTGTCCCATTGTTCCTTCTATTTTTTTCCATCCGTGCAGAATAAATGTTCTGTGCACCCAGGCATGTGTGGATGTGCATCATCAGTAGAAACACATGTTGCCAGCTGTTAATCATCTGGATGGCATTTGAATCTCTCCTGGGTGGCTGCCCAAGTGCTTAGCTTACGGGGAACACAGACACAGAGTACCTGATCTGAGAAAAATTGTGCCTCAAATGTATCCAGGGAATCTTTGGGATGGACAGCAGAAAAATCCCAGCCAATCTCTATTGCTTTGCGGGTTGCTCAGATAGTTTGGTGTTAGGGGCTTTATTAACTTGCCTTACTCCTGCTGACTGCTTCTGTTAAAGCCAGGAGGAGCTCAGCTTTCCTATTGATTTCAGTGGCAGTGGGATCTGGGCCACCCTCAGCAAAGCCTTGGTGTAATGTTTTAGCCTAATAGTTCTAATGTTGCCGTTTCTGCCATCCTTTTGGAAAGCTGGCTGGCTTCAAAATGGAACCAGCTGCCTTTTCTCCCCCCTCCCCTCGCACAGAGCCGGAAGAGTAATGTGGATTCCCCCATAACAGTTTTTTTCGTTTGGGCTGCACCATCACCATAGCATTTCTTCTGGTGGCAGCAGAGCAGTCAGAAGGTTGGGCTGCTTGTTCTTACAGACATGGGAGCTCCACAGGAATCCAACCTGCAGATTTAAACCTGATCATGCTCCCTCTTACCACTGAACTCCCATAGCAGTGGGACCAGGACTCTTCTCTCCCTTTCAAAGGTCTGCTCAGGCCACTCAGAGGCAATGTGGCACTTACAATACCTTTTGCAATGTAAATTCTGCTGCCTGGAAGTAGGGAACATACTTTGCTTATGCCCCTATCCCACAGAGAAGACCTCTGTATGCAGCTTTCCCAGAGCGGGCCCGCGGAACACTTGAAGAAACACTGTGCTATATAAATGAAGGAGAATTAGAAGCAAGTAGGGGGTTGGTCCGTATGTGGAAAATCCTGCTGGAAGTGTACAACACACAGAGCATTTGGCTAAAGAAACAAAACTGACAGCTCTGAAAGCCTTGAGACAACTTGAAGGGCACTCAAGAAAACATTCTGTAACTGTAACACAACTAATATACTGGATTCAGCATGTTACCCTACACTTAGCTGACAAAGACATGGTTTCTGGTTGCTACCTTGTTATTAACTGGATGGTAGACTGCTGTGGTGTTTCTCTTGTGTTTGGATGATTATTGCATTTACAACAACGGTTTTGCCTTGCTGAGGTTCATGGAGCACTTGCTGATGGCTTGCAGAGAGCTGGTTGGTCACATGAGGGTGGCTCTACTGGTCTTTAATTCTTAAAAGAAGCTCAAAATAGTTTAAGCTAAATTCCGGGCTGGTGTAATTAGGCAGCTCCATTGATATCTGCTGAGTAGCTGGCCTATTAAATACGAATTTTCCCAATACAATTTCCCCATGTAAGCAATTGCTATAGTTTCCACAAAAATATTACATAAACATGAATGTGAGGAGGAGGAATGCTGCACATTTGTGTATTGAAGGGAGATGTACATGGGAGAATTGCCCTATTAAGATCTAGAAGACTACACAGTGGAAAAGTTTGAGACCCCCTTGTTTTAGAGTACAGGCAGTCCCCGACTTACGCGGATCCGACTTATGTCGGATCCGCACTTACGAACGGGGCTTTCTCGCCCCGGAGGTCGAAGTGACGGATTGCTGCCTGCGAGCTCCGGGGCGAGAAAGCCCAGTTCGTAAGCTGCTCCCGGTGCCCCTGGTCTGCTGGAGACCGTCTCCAGCAGACCAGGGGCACCGCTCCCTGTGTCCTTGGTCTGCTGGGGGAGGGGCGCACAG